ACAGGCCATGGGTGATCAAGCATGCTGTCTTCTATAATCTACTTACTATGTAGTATAAATGCGAAAAGTCTCAAAATAAATTAAAATGGAAATACGCGTTTCATTGTCAATACCCGGTATATTATTATTAATGAATATTTACTAAAACTCATTTATCAGGAGTCATCTACAGCATTAAAAACAAGACCACAAGTACATGTCGTAAGCCTTACGACTCGTAAGGGCACCACAAACACTTCCGTTCAGTATATCAACCTTCAGAAAAGAACCAAAAAGCCCAACTTCAAACCATTTGTTGGGATCCTAGTCATGCTCATAAAGTCACACTCAAAACCTTTTCGATTGATTCAGCGGATTGGCAAATTGCCTTTTGGTGGAAATGTAGCTAGCACATATACAGCTAGTGGATACGCTACTTGATAAGACAAAGTTATCCAGAAACCAGAGTTCCAAGCTTACTTGGTGGTGGAGTTCGTTGTCAGTGGGATGCATTCTTTGTACACCTGCCACGAATACGAATTCTTGAGGAAGCGCACACCGAGCCAGTACCAGTAGAGAACACAGTTTCCCTTGCACGGCGAATAGTCGATTGGATATTCTTTGCCTGGCAGTGATACGTGGCAGTTGTCGGCTTGGTACACCTGCGTATCAGCGACCCACATTTCGCATGGCCCCTCATGGGTATATCCGGTAGAGCGCATGATGCCTCCAGCCGGAATTGGCTGTGGCGTACCTTTGGGGTTGGTCCAACCACACGAGAAGTCCGCTCCTTCGGTAACAGTGTACTTGGCATGTTCCATAAAGTCACGGAGTGTTTTGTAGCCGTTCTGGATGCGCCACGACTTAAAGTCTTCTTGCGTCTTGAATCCCTGGCTTTCAAGGAACGCAAGAGGGTTGTGTTGGGTATCCCTGTTGTCCGTTATCCACTGCGGTGCTGGATGCAGCACAACTTGGTGAGCCTCAGTGAGAGGCCACGCCAAAGCTGCGGCGGATAGACCGCAAAGCTTGATAAAAGTTAACGGACCCATTGAAAGGTTGTGGGTGAAAGTGGAGGGTATGCAGCGATCGGGAAAACTGGAACTGAACCTCAGCAACGTCGCTGAATTAAGCTGGTGCATGCTTCTCGTGAAGATCAATATGAACGCTAGATAAAACAGAATTTGGTGGAACATTGACATTGTATATTGATGAAAAATGTTGATGTGGTAGATATGTCTGCATCAACATCAAATAATTGTTACGCTCTCGTCAAGTCGCGAATTCTTTTACATGCACTTCGAAGTATTCATCGCACGGAGAAGGAAGCAATTTGCTTCACACGTAAACTCTTGCATGGTGATGCAGCCACCAGGCTCTATACAAACAAGCGATCGCCTTGAAATCGTGCTAGATCATGTAGTGTACCGCAGACTTCTGCGTGTTTGTAACCTACCACAAATAATATACTACTTCAAAGTACTACTTTAGTGTCGCTGTATAATAGATTTTGAATCGGTAGAGCACATCAGACCGTTGTTATCCGTTATCGTACTTCTCCATTTCACACGAATATGCAGTAAAAATTTGAACTGCACTATCTTGAGAACGCGGTGTCCGATTCTGGAGCCGAGGGCAGCATACGAAAGCTCATGATGCGAGCTTCTCGCTCACTTTTTAGAGGGCAACAGCGCTTATTCCTAGGGAGATCTGGAGATATTTGCATGACCATTCATCAGGAGTGTTTGCATTTTCCTCTGTAATTCATGTTACTGGAGAGGGAATTTTTTTTTTTTTAATGTGTTCACACGAACATGCAGAAGATGGTCAAAATTTACTCGATGTAGTCCACACATCGGCCTCTCATTGGTCGACTTTCCCGAATGCACGTTTTTGGCCAATGAAATTACTTTCTCAGTGGTTTAATGTGCGCAGCTGTACCAATCAAAAACGCAACTGAACAGCTATCTCACAATTTTTTTTGAATTCAGCAGATCAATGTGGAATGGAGAAGTTGTTGCTTCGCAAGATCAAGCACTACGAAAAAAAATACGTACTGTAAGTAAGTAAATGCAGACGAATTGGTGTTGAGATCCAAGTGAGGGTTATTTGTGGTTACCATACATCTAAAACCTCCTCATTCTACAGGTTTATCGTTGTCATACCGACGAAGCAAAGCCACGCAATTAGCAACCCTTGCCTTCCGTGCCGTCAGACGGAATGTACCAGCAG